GACACGGGTAGAATCCCTGTGAAGAACCAGAGGTATAATACAAAAATAGTTTCAATAGTGAAATGTGGTAACAGGAGTTTAAGTTTCCTCGAGCTTTGTTATTCCCAACACATGAAACTTATCTATAGGTGAATTGAGATGTGGGAGAATGTAAGTGGAGAAAAATGGTGGAAAAGGTCAGACTAATTTGGTAGGAATGGTCTGTTCGATAAGTTAGAATTCTAGTGATAGATGATTGCTTTTAGTCTTACTTTATCTCACTGGTTGGAATGTTTGACTATCGACCATGTTGATGCAGTAAGGATATTCTTTTTATAGTTTTATGTTTAAACTACAAAAATGATAAGTAGGTTAAATAAATAAAAATAGACTGGACCACATAGTTTATTCGGCCTCAGAAGTGCATGCAGTGTGGTGCACCCACAGAGCACGATTAACAGAACGACCAATAATCTGTCGATGAGTCAGAAGACAGTTCAGGCTCACCGAAATGTGTCCTTACACATGAGTAGTGACAATGCCCAAAGCCAAGGTGAATGTTTACTTGACAAGCAATCTCCCTGTAAAATGTTGCATAAGACCGATTACAGTAATGTGATATGAGAAATGCATCGGACCATTAGTGAGGCCATCACACCTTGTGCCGTTTCATCTATTCGACAAGGTTGTCCAGAGGAGGCTAGTGAAATGAAATACTCATCACTGATTTGGTTGGAAGTGCTTTCCTGCCCCGGATTTGTGGCCGGTGTGCAGCTCATGTGATCATTCACCTTTTGGACGGAGTCAAATGTCCAGTATAAACGATACGTGATGAAAAACAAGTCGGTGGCCACTGCCAAAGCCACAAATGCTGAGGAGTTTCTTAATCCTTGTTTTTGGTTGTTTGGAGTTTAGGGTGTCTAGTTTATCTACCCCTCCAGGTGAATTGCCGGTGGTTCATCTACTCGAGCGGACAATTTTAACCAGTATTGATCAAAAATTCCTGGATTGTGTTGGCTCAATTCAGCTCAGCTCAGTTCAGTTCAGTTCTCACTGGACGAATTGTGGCTATTGCCAATGGCGCGTCCAGTTCCTTTTGTTGTCGGTGGTTTCGTTGACTTCCAACACTTCGAGTCAATAGTTGGTTGATAATTAAAGCTATTCGATATGGAACAATCGCATTATGCTTTTGTACTAACCCATGGTGTGTATTTTTGATCAGCTGTGATGCTCACACACGCAGCTTCCAAATACAAAAGCACCGAATGATTTGTGTCCTGTACGGTTAACACACAAATACACACACACACACACCACGCAAGCGCTTGCTCTGTTGCACACAAACAAATATGGTTTTGTAGATCCGTATATTGAAATTTTCTGGTTTTCAATTGTTTCTGGATTATTTCCCCGTGTTCGAATGCAACTATTCGCTCAATTCCCTCTGCTTTCCTTTCGCGCTCTGTCTGTTTTCTGGACTCCGTTGTTCCTGTGATTGTGTTCTCCTGTGCACCAATTACAGAATAAAAAGTTGATTAAGAGTATGCAAGATACTTTGGCCGTGCTTCAGAAACAGATCAGTCAAATGCATCAGCTTATCACGGCGACACAAGACGAGATGAAAACTGTTCGAGAACAATTTGCCGTAAGTTGATGTCGCTTTCACTATTCCACTGATCCTCATTCGGTTGATACCATTGCGGTACTTTAGAAAAATCAGGTAAGCGAGTCTGATGCTCTAGATAGTTAGCGAAATATACGAGATTGGTACAGTGAACATTTTAATGCACAAACCTGGTGTTGTATCTAACTTGTTATGATTTACTCTGGATAAAAAACATCAACTACGGTCTCATTACGTTCGTCTCCGGGCTGCACCGGATCTGTATCACATGTAAATACTGTTTAGCAAGCAGTAAAACATGCGGGTAAGAATAAATGTGTTGCCAATGAAGATCTGGGGTCTAAATTTGGTAAGATCCTCTGTAAAGAACTTGTGTGTTGTGCTCATAGTATTAGATCTACTTGAAAATGCTTGGATTAGCCACTACGAGAGAAAACAAATACAATGATTTTGTTGTTGTTAGAAATCACATCACTGAAAGAAGAGAACAACATTCTTCATGCTTCATCCTATGTTGCTATAGCTTGTGTGAACCAGTCTGATTGAAGCCTGCAATGAATCACGGTAAATGATCAACAGATGACCTCTGCACTCATTTAACTGAATATATATTTATGTATTCAACTCGTAATTAAGTAAAAGGAATTGTGACCTGTGCCACAAATTTTGAAGAAAGAAATTTAAAAATGGTTCTAGTATAGATCAACGTATAAGCGTCTTACAACAGATGCGCCGTTGATGCTAGTTACCAACCGTATCGGTTAGTATTTTTGACCACAGATGCTCGCTGTCCTTGGAGTTCTCAATTTTCTCTTCGACTCTACCTTTACCCTTCCTGTTCTTCTCCTATTACTCATCCAACTGGGCAGCCAAAAGACAGCAACCAAAACCGGCACACGAAAGTGCATGGTTAGTGGTTGTTCGAACTGAACTGAACTGAACTGAACTAAAGTAAACTGAACTGAACCGAACTGAACTGAACTGAATCCCAACCTGGGAGCCTGGGACTCCTTGCCACTGCCAGTTTTGAAGTAAATATCTTCATTGTTCGAGCCCAGTTCATTCGACGTTCACCTCCTTTTCGCTTTCAATTATTGTCGGTTTACCCAAACACAAAACGATTCGCCATCCGCAAGATATGTCCCAGTCATCGAAGTCGCTGGAGAGAAATGACAGCACTCAGATAACCATTAAGATCGTCTGAAGATAAGATTCTTCGGCTAATCTTATAGTTGGTGACTCACCATTGCCAACCTATCCGGAATAAGTAAAGAAGGCAATGATGGTCAGTGACTCCCAATCTCTGTACGTCTTCTGAGTGAAAGGATTAGCGTCCTGTGGCATTATGGACTCGACCTTTCAAAGAAAAAAAGAGTGAGGTGGCGCAGATGCCACCAGTGATGCAGGTTAGCGTAGGCCACCTGGACCTTGCGAATCAGCGCTCTGTCCTCTTGAGCTGAAACAACTCCCAAGATAGGTAAAGTGATCGACGAATTCCAAATGTTCACTAATGAGCATGATGATAAGTGTAGCTTCTTGCCAGTGTTTTAGTAAGACCTGACATTTAGATAGAGAAGAGGTCATCTCAAACTGCGCGACGAAAATTCACTGAGACAGAATGTTTTGAGAGTCTTGAGATAAGTCGCACAGTACAACGATGTTGTCTGAATATTTCAAGTCACTGCATCAATCACCCAGAAGAAGCTTTACACCAGAAGGAATGCAGTTTTCCAGAGCGCTGCTTAGGATTTTGTCCATTGTGAAGTTGAATAGGAAAGTTGAAGCCATGCCCCCTTGATCGACTCCGATTTAATGGTAAACGAAAGGGGGATGCAATCATAGACCTTAATACGGCCTGATATATTTCAGTAGAAGGCTTTGAGAAGGCTTACGTATTCTCCCAGGCACAACACTTCTTATCAGACAAGTTCAAAGGGCTCCTCTGTCAACTGAGTCAAACGCAGCTCGTATGCCCACAAAGAAAACGATAGTTGGTCCACTGAACATTCGACATTGCTCACGAATCTCATACAGCGTGAATATGTGGTCAACGCAGCTCCATGTGGAGCGGAATTACGCGTGTTCCTCATGGATAAGACGCTATTTCATCCAAATGAACCTATGAAGGATCAACGACGTACTCACTTTGGATGCAACGGAGATGAGACTAATCCCTCGAAGACTGGAGCAATCGTGGCGATGATTCTTCTTAGAAACAAGTCCGACGTCCGCCAAATCTCATTCGAAAGGAATGGATTCAGTATTCCAAATGGTTTGAAATATGGAGGTTAGTTCTCGGACAAGACTTATACCAGCATCTTTTAAAAGGTCCGGGGAGCGCAGCTGGGCCGTGTAACTTGTTTCAGTTATCGGGAAGCGTCTTCCTCGGAAGGCGGTGAGATTTCGGCAGACCATGGAGCACTGTATATTTATGGAGACGGATGCGGTGATTTCGGTGGAAAACTGAATTGTTGACCCAACTTTTCCGCTCAGAACCCAAGCCGACGTCGTAGATTGTTGTTATACTCGTGATTAGTTTCATATATCGTTTTGCTGACGCATGGCGTTTTTCGGAAAAGCTTGTGAAGATTACGGAAAGTAGCGGTGGAAGCGCACTGTGCCCACCAGCTCTCGTAGTCCTCTTTTAGAAACCGTTAAGGTTTACCCGTGAACTGTTTTATATTCATTACCCGGAGGGATACTTTGATGATTGCCAAGCTGTTTGGCAGAACGTTTGGAAACACAGTGGTTGGCGGTGCGTTTTGTGAAGCCACATACTGCGGTGGTAGACTTATGCAAGACTTTATGGATGTAAGCAAGTAACACTTTTCGGTAGGCGGTCAGTTTCATTCGATCGAGTCTTCTCAGGTGACGTTACTGTTTTCCACTAAAGTTCAAAGAGAATTTGGCGCACACGAGTGCACTATCAAAGATGATTTAGATGCTTCACACGTATTTGCAGTCCGTTAAGCAATTTTGTCATTGATAGCTGAAGGCAATATGATCTATTCGAGTCCACAATTGATCAGACGATGGAGTTTGCCTTTAAAAGTTTACAGCATTGCAGTGTACGATGCTCTCTATTAAGGAAGAACCCGCGATTCTCAACATACCAGCAAAGACGGATATCATTGTCCTCAATTAGTCTTTTTGATCAGAAGCGAAGTACGATGCACATGCACTGAATAGTTGTAATCAAATGGTAAAACATCAATAATTTGACCTTGAATTACAATTTTTTGTGTGGATGAAGATGATAGTAGAGATGCATGGATTTGCCAATAGGGATACTTTTGTTATTTCTTGAAACATTTGGTCCCAGTTTTATCACGGACGACTGAACATCATCAGAGGGAGCGATGATTGGCGATATTTTCTTGACAATAATGCTTAAAGCATCGGTGTTGTTCAAGAAGCATACAAAAATGAACGGCCTGGCTTTTCTCCTCAAAAATGTTGGTTTTGTTACCCAACAAAACTGTTTGACCTCACATCATAGTGTTTTGTATCCCAACCCCTTCACAGTCTGTTATTCTCATTTTTACGTTGTCACCATGTTTGTTCACAGGCCAGTGATACATACAGATATATATATATATATATTTATCCAGCAAGAATAAAGTAGGCTATATAAATCTCAAGATTATCTTACTAGTGCTTAGCTCTCGAATGAAAAATTATCTGCATTTTTTGATACCCAATTCCGTTTTAGTTTAGAAATTGATACCATATAGTAATTAGGGTGGTCCAAATTGTTTATCAGAAAATATTGATAATTAAGTTATCAATTGCATGGGGAGCATAAACAACGTTCATTGCCAAAAAGTGTAGCGTATACGGTGTTCAGATAGGGTTGGAGAATATTAAAAGTTTTTGTGCCGATTTGATTTCAGCTCAGTAATCACAGACAGAAATAATACATTTTGTTGGAGGCCACCAATCATCATCACCCGGAGTGAAAATGAAAAACTAGCAGGCAATTTGCTGTATTCAATGAATAGAAAAAATCTATGAAACCAATCAAGGTTAAAACAGTTGCATAGCACCTCGTTGCATTTAAGTTCGCGATTCATTTGGTCAGGGCACGACCAATTATTTATTCTTAAGTGGATTAAATTCTCTACCGTGCCTAGTGAAAAATGTGTCTAACAGTTGGATAGGCAACACCGCGCATACCAAATATAACTAAACGAGGTTAGCAGTTTCGGTGGGGTGGGGTCTGACTGTTCGTCCCTATTCCGGGATCGTTATGACTGCGACCGTTGATCTAGTTAGCTGCATAAAGAATGAACTAACACGGCGGTAACCAACTGCGGTTGATCCGGATACGGAGGCGAATCACGTCAAGACGGATCGATAAATCGATCCGTATGCTCAGGTGTAAATGCTGGTTAACATGAGTTGGTTCAGTTTAGGCCCTCAGTAGCCTACTTTGTAAGACTCCGAGGTTCCCCAGACTATCAGTTCTTATTTTGAAGCAAATGCTATTTTCCTACGCATTTCTGACATTGGAAGGCACATTCAACAAGATGCTTAACAAAGGAGTAAGGATGCCATGAAAGAATTAGCAATATCTTATTACTGTTTTTTGACCGCCCAGTTGGATAAAAGAATAGCATGAAGACTGGAATGTTGAAAGCAAATTCATGGGGATGATAGAGAATTCTGTGGGCCGAATAGTCCAACATAGTGCCAACATTCACGCCCGAGGATGGTGATCGATTTATCGTTTTATCTCGAAGCGATTAACTTCCTTATCCGGTGACCAAGGTGAATGACATCCGCTGATTTCATTCTTGTGTAAAGCCCAACTGTCAAGGTCAAAACATCCCTGGGTTAGTCCAACTCCAGAATTCACTTCAGATCATTCTATCGAAGATCCTTCAGGTCACGCACCCCATCGATTATGGCCTTATTTCAGACAACTATACACGGTGGTATCGTTTGTCATGATGAGATCCGAGTAAGGTGTTTGAGCTAGCTACTGGTGAAATTAAAAATTTTCATAAAGGTGGTTTGTATGGTTGTATGTTTATCATGTAATTATGGGTACTGGTATGAACGAGTAGTAATTGTCTTCACACTAATACTTGGCAATAATTGTCAACAGTTTCTCCTAAACTGAACTCGTTTTTCTTTTTAAGGATTTGCAACAGTTTGCTGAGGATTTGGACACTCGTAAAGTGGACGCGAACCACGTGGACTCTGAACTGCTCAAGGTGAGTTCCTTAACGAGATAGTTGTGGCCGAAGTAATTTGTGAAGGCATTTGATATAACGGTAGGCAGAGAGCATGGGAGAACTGGTACACCCTTGGTATAACTTATCATTAGCGCGTGTTCCATAAAATTTATTGTCCGGGAATTTTCATGGACCAAAAAGAATACGTGCAATTTGATCACGACTATGGAAGTTAAACGATCACTTCTTTGTGTCTGTCTAACTCTGTTAGACATGAGTTAAAATTGGAAAATCCATAAACCAGAATGCTGTTGGGCTATTGGAAAGAAAGTTGCTCTCTTTAGGAACAACGTAAATATAATCAAACCTTAACTAACTTTACCTTATTGGTCCCATAAATATCTCAGAATTACAGGTGCAAATTATCACACTCCCCGAGATATTCCCGGGACATGCTTGAAGTTACTACCGCAACATTACATGTCTTATTTTAATTCTATCAACCTTGACACTTTCTGTCTTCAACAAAATCATTTGTGCAGCGTACAACATCACCAACTCCCGACGAAGTGACCGGTAAAAGCCCTGGAGACCAAATGCTTTGTATCAAAACGGATTTATGGATGTACAATACGGAGACCAAAATTTTAGGATGAATGTTAAAAAAGCGTGAACAGCACAAGTCAGACTGTGGCACAACCCGACGTAAACAGTGCGTCGGGAAATCAAGTCAAACGTTAGATGAGATTGGTGTAGGATTTGCTTCGATTATATAGTGCTATGACCGCAATCAACTGGCAGAGATGTATTGTGTTATATTTTGTATGGACAAGGTGAAAACTGTCTGATCAGTTACCCAGTGGTCCAATTGGGTGATGGCTAGTGTTTTCACGTGCGTCTGGTGTTGTATTATCAGAGAAGTCGATGTCTTCGAACCGCTGATGATATCTAACTAGGTCTTAAAGACTGTACAATGCTTCTAAACTTTTGAGTTCCAGCTTTCAGCTTTGCACTTTGTGCACGACAAACCTCACAACACACGTGCGTATCTCACCACACGGACACGGACCGCGACCGAGGAGAAGCCAAAGCATGCATAAAAATAAGGAACTGGAAGTACTGAGTCACAATTCTACCGGTCAAGGGTCAAGATCAAGTAGGATAGAACGGGAATTGTCACGTGCTTTTGTGTGTTCGTATTCGTCGATTAAATAAATGCCGGATAGGGGGTGCGATTAGGACAAATAGAGTAGTGGGGGTGTTCCAACGGTAAAATAACTGTAGCTGTGACATGTAACGAACCACAGCGAGTGTGCTTGACAACAAAGAAACCAATACGAAATGTAAGTTCGAGTAAACTTCAGAATCACGATATGATTGGAGCGGATAAGCTGGAACATGTTGTAAACAGACTGTTTCTGCAATCAATCCCCTTGATTGTGTGGATTCATCCGAGCAGTGTGGAAATACAAATAAGCAGTTTGTGGTTGTTGAATAAAGATGTGAACTGATTGTTATTGTTATTAATTTCTCATTGTCGTCTATATAGTGGTTACCAGTTAGATGCATTTTCCATCAGGCTGTACAACCGGACACTAAAAACGTTTCCCTTGGTTCTGTGCTTCTGAATGCAAAGGGAGCATTGAGCGAGTAGTTATAGAAAATCATGTGTTTGCATATGTTTCCTGGGTTCTGTGACTGGGTGAGTGGACATAACTGAGGCAGATGGTGTGCAGAAATTTATCAATGGGAAGGGTGCCTATTTTGTGCAGGGACGCATCCAATGTTCGGACATCTCGCAACAATATTTGGATCACACGGGTAGTTTGCAGTGTCTAGGGAATGATTGGCGATCAGATTCGGGGCGGTAGAGGGATGGCAATTTTGGTTCGGGGTGTGTGGGATGTCTGTCTTACCGAACGTCCTAATTATCGTTGATAGCCGATGGAAAAACCGGGGGTTCCAAAGCCAAATACAATTACGCAATAAGTGGTGCAGCTGAGAGGCGTTTATAGCATCATGCTTTTAATGAATAGATGTCAGAGTTTAATTTTGCCAATACCTGTTTGTCCGATGAGCGCATGTTTTCTAGCGGATCCTCAGTAGCTCCTTCCTCATTCGATAAGCGTAGATTCAACCGAGGGATTCGTGCATAGTTGATAGTTGAACAAATTATTCTACTCTTTAAACCGGACAATAAATCACCTTCGATCACTCAAATGGCTAATATCTCCGTATTCTGTAAGCCACCTAGTAGGGAGGCTGACACCTCGACTGTCCTCAAATTGGTTTATATCGCTTGTTGAGCTGTTTAGCAGGGTATCTCTGTCAAACAATGCCTCGGCTTCTTGGAGTAATAGTAACGGTTTTATTAACGATGCAGTTTAAAGATCTGAAATATACCCCAGGGCACACGGCACACGGAATGACACCGATCAGGCTTTTCGGGTGTGTGGTGTTTGTCAAGATATACAGTAATCAACAAATACCAAGGGTGATGAATCTTGGACTTGAACTAAGACTTTAAATTACAGTTGACGAGACCCTGTCCTTTTAACCACATGGAGCTTTCTGTAGGGTACCACGTGACCAACCTAATCGATGATTAGCTGAACTGAGGGACGTAGTATCGCTTTAAACAGTGCTTGCCTAAATGGGTCAGTGAAAGACAGTAACCAAAGGAGTATTAGTGTGGTTCAAGGTTATTGTTTATACCAAATAAATAGGAAGCGGGATCTTTTTCGATATTTTACATAATCAAAGTCAAAAGTGTACTTGATTCATCCAATGTAGACAGAAATTGTAGTCGTACGCTGAAAACCAACAAAGGAGAAAAGTGAGGTGTACAACAGAAGTGAGAAAGGCTGCAACGTGAGTGCATAAAAGTTTAAATTTATTGCGGGTGACAGAAGTGGAGCTGGAGCGAGAGAGGATTGAGTGAGAATGGTGTGATATATCAGAAAGGATTGGGTCTAATGGACAATCATGCGCCTTGAAGTGCTAGTTGATAATGAAGAGATATTTTTTAAAGAGACTGTGATCAATATGAAATCCTTAGACAGCAGATGGGGAAGATAACGGAGGAGCAATGGGTCTAATGACATGAAACGAAGGAGAAAATAACTTTAGAGATCACATACAAGAGTACCATCAGGTGCCAAAAATGCGGGCTGTAAAAGGTCGGCTATCCGACTTTAAGGAATGTGCTTTTGCACGTGGTAAGACCAGTTGAGGTCTCCAAACAGAAAAAAGACCAAGGTATTTGAAATGCTGTCACCTTGCAAGGTTTGATTTGCTATCCACGATGTAGGGATCAGGTGATCTGGAATGTGTAGATGGTCTATATTTACTGGAACATTCAACTTCATAGTACGTCACTTTCTAAGAGCGAGAACAGGCATCATCGCATGTAGTTGGGTTTAGTGAAGAGTTAACACCACTGACGCACACGTTTTCTTTTCTGGTGGCCTATCTGCACGAACCAAATGAAATTTCAATCAATTCGTCCTCAACCGATTCTTGCAGTCAGGATTCTTGGAAAAGTAACACAACTTTGGGAGTACTCTCCTCTGTGAATCTGTAGGTCCATATCCGATTACTTCGAGAGACTTGGGCACATAATCGACGACATATTGGTTCTATACTCTAGTGCAGCCTTCCAGGTTGCAAAACGCTTTCCTTGTTTACAGACTGCATTTTTCCAATCAATGGGTCCAGAGTTCAAATCTCGGACGGGACGGTGGATATGCACTACTGCTGAGCTCTAACAAGAGCGAGACTCGAGTCTAGTACTCACGAGGGTAAAGTTGACCGGAAGAGCAGAGGAATGTGCGTGACGGTGAAGCGTGATGGATGGTCAGTTCCAATCAATGAATAATAACTATCCCACACCACTACTCACAAGTGACTGTTAGTCAAATGCGAATCAGAGAGGAATCCTCGATATTATCCACAAATACGCCAATAGAGTTTGAACTGAGCACGTTGTGGTTATTCATTGAGGTCATAATAATTGGTGCAAACGTAAAACCAGAGGCGGCCTGTAATTGAAATATATATATATATATATATTTATATTTTCACACACACGACTGTGTGCCAAACAAATCATGGTACAATAATGTTAATGAAAAAGCGAAACGTTCCACGATTTGCATTAGGGCTGAATACTGCCAGGTTGCCCAGGCCAAGGCAGGTGAATTTTCTTGAGGAATCCACAACCGGAGCCTTCGGCTAGTCAAAGCCTGAACTGCAAGGCAGCGGGGCGGTGTGTGAAAACCGTAATCCATTTGGAGCCGTTGTCCAGTTCATCGGATCATACGCCTGTCGACTGGGTCGAACGTACAAGCTGCCCTATACACCCAACCGAGCCGGTGACCACTGCCACAACCAGGAAGTTGTGTGTGGTTTGTACGCCTCCTCATGTTTGGTTTGAAATCAGGGGTTTTGGCCAACTTCTCTAGGTGAACTGCTGGTGGTTCACCAACCCGGTGATATCCCCGGATGTCGGCTTTTTGTCCTCTCACTTTGGTGAGAAAACGCCTCCGCCACGATAAGGCAGTGAGTAGGGTTTCCTCAGTAGAGGCTGTTCGAGACACTTGGTCGTATGGGAGCATTTCGCGAGGTGCTAGGGAAGGCTGACCAGCCGCAACTCTAGACACTCACCCCCGAACATACTGAGGCTTTTGGAAGCTGACGGACATGTGGGCAGCTGCTGCCATGGAATCGTTGATTAGAACATAGGGGTTTTGAGTTCGTCCCCCATGATGGAGTGTGGTGCACACGTTTTTCATATCCATTGCATATTAATCCGTTTGCTCATATGGAGAGTACCAATGTGAGGAAACTAGAGGTTTCGGTTAATGAACATTATCGATGAAATCCTATGCATATTCCAGGTAATAATTGTTATTATTTCGCACTGAACTCGCAGCTAATTGTGGGAATTGATGTGCGACAGATGTTATTGATTTAAAGCAACTTTATCTCCACGCACAGTCCTCAGCTCAGTCATCTATACTATGGGTAAGTAATAGATTGGGTTTCGTCTTCGTTGGGGCTTGTCAGTAGTACAAATCCAATGTCCCATACAAGATGTGAAGTCAGGACCCACTGCATGAATGGTGTGTGTTACCACCTTGTTAACCAGCTCAAATGGAGCTGATCACAATCGCCAGTTCATGGACTTTGGAAACCTCTAGAGATAGTCATTCATTTCTCTTTTCCTGAGCTTAAAATTCCCGTACTCCGTGCTTTTCATCAATTATTTTGTTTGAAACCCCAAACGTATCCGTACGATCGAGGGGTCTTAAAGAAAAAGACAATGGAATTGAAGTTGACTCGATTACAGTCGTTAATTTAGTGCCGCTTCTTCGACGAATCAACCAAACACTTTCGGATACTTTAGTGAGTGATCATCCGTTCCAGTCTTTTATTCCGGTAACTCTGATTAGCTATTTCACATTAGTCTCGCACCGTTAAAAGTTTAATCGTTCGTTGTCAATCTGTCTGTCTTTGGTTGTCATTATCTAATTGTGGTTTTATGTGGTGTAACCCCCATGGCTTGGCATCGGTTAGACCAACTAGGATTAACTGGGTTGGTCCAGCAATGCATCATTACAAAAAGCGCGAACCAACCAACCTCGAACCGTAAGAACAATGTCGTCCACATGGTAAGCTGTAGAACAAATAGCCAGTCGGAGAGGTCCTTGTTAATTCATTGAACCACATAACGAACTGGACGCTCATGCTCCCCCATCGAATCAATGGCTGATGGTAAAACCACGATTCCTTTTCCGAAAAAAGATGTGCGGGTTGGCTTGCCCCATGTTTTGACTGTCGTGCTTGCATAGGCGAAAACGCAAATGGTTGTCTTTATTGAAGCGTGTTGAAATTTCCCAAATCAATTCATTGATCGAGTTCTGTGTAGTCCTTTGCTGTCGCATGATACAGCTTGCTATTTAGTATCTACTTATCCAATTTGCAGTTGCCAGATTAGTAATGAATCACCTATTGACAAAATGTTGAAAATTGGTTCTCTTAGCTCGGGTGATGAAACGTTTGCAAACAAATTGCCAAGCTTGGCGTATAGGTGAAATGGAATAAACTACCTATGCCACCAGATTGTCCAGCAATGAAAACTGTACAAATTCAAGGAAAAATATGGATGGAATGTCATTTTGAATGCGCAGAATACTACATCAAATCTATTTCACACCGTTCGTTGTCGATAACAGAAATATTATGCTATCGGCTAGCATCGTCTTTAATGATATAACCTATTGATTTTGGAAGAGCGGCTGATGATTCACTTCTGTAGTCTGATGATTTGCACTTATCAAAAATCTTCGCCTAGATCCTTACACGGTGACACTTTTTAATGACCAAAACCCAGTCTTGTGCGACGGCTGAAAAAATGCCTTACCATTCATCTGAGGTTTTGGTTATTCAACGTGTGACTCGAGAATTATGGTTTCGACGTTCAACCAGGAAGAACATCGACGATTTGAGTCTCAGCTGGGACACATAGGTAGAAGCATTGCTGATGAGCCTCAGCACACACATACACAGAAAGAAAACAACTTCCAAGAATTGATTGTTTGCTGGCTATTACACAATAGTTTAATAGCAGTTAAATGCTTTTTTAGAT